CTTTAGAAATATCTCAATCTTAACTCCCCCATGCCATTTCCTTGACACTACAATTTTTAAAATGGCATTTACAAATTAAATAAGGTGATATGTTATTTAGGCATAGTAAGGCTTTGACTATTGCAGTTAGCCCATTTATTTAAAAGAGTTTTCACAGCAGGAGAGATGCTATAAATATTCTGAATATAAATTGCCTTGTTAGAGAAATTGAGGTCTAATTTGTGATTTGAAAAATGGCTAATTTTTATTTCCCTGGTTTGTTGAGAATAATATAAATATGAGACATTTAAACAATTTATTATCTCTTCTTTTGTTTTTGTTCATTTTTTTCACTTTGTTCCTGAGATTACTTCCACCAAGAATATTCTTCCCTATCCAGTCCTTGCCATGGCTAACTCCCACTTATTCTCCAAGTAGTCTCTCACTAGGAAGGCTTAAATCTCTGGTGACTCTCATACCTCTCTCCATATCCCACTTTTATGCTTCTGAGTGCAGAAGAGATTTCTTTTGTTTACCCTTGGGGCCTAGATATCTTTAATGCTATTAATGGCCAGGCACATGGTACCATGTGCCAAGTAAATATGCACTGGATGTGGAAAAGCACTTCCTAGTATGTTCAAGGTCCTGGGTTCAATCACTAGCACCACAAAATATAAAAATAAAACATGTTGGATACATGTACTAAATGTATGTTTAACATTGGAAGAACATTTTCCTTATATGTCCATATATTACAGTTAGCATTAGTTTATTTCAAGAGTGTATTTGTATATCAGAGTTTCTCTTAGCAGTAGTGTTTTACATGATTATGTCCTTAATATAAGGACATAAGAAAATGTACTATGTAAAACTTAAGTTGTGATGTACTATATCTGAAACAGTGCTTAAAACTTTTAAAAATTAGTTATTTCATAAACTTCCTATTTATTTTTATACTTTAATGCTTTTATTTGCATTATCTCATGTGATCTCCTTATTAAACCCGATCAAGTAATGTTTCTTACTCATGTCGGAAATGATTGTGTCAGTTTCACACAGTTGTTGGTTGAGAACCCAGGCTAGAGTGCAGGTTGCTATACTTAAGTATTTCTGTTATGTGTAAGGGAATAAAGACCAAGAAAAAAACATCAACTCCAGGAAAAAGAACAGGAATAAAGTCTGTTCCAGATAGAAAATGACTTTCTGTCTTTGGAGAAAATCATAGACAGCTGACTTTGAAAGTTGTGATGGTTGTAAGAAGAGTTAAGATTGGGGAAGTAATTAGAATCATTGCAGGGTTGGTGGTGAAAGAGTTGGAATTTTATACTCTGGGAACTGAGAGAGATTGGAAACTTGTGACTCAGGGAATTGACATAATTCTGCTTTAGGACTCATCAGTAATGTATGGGATGATTAGAATTTGAAATGCAACATGAGATACAGTGTCTAATGCAGTATTCTTAGTGAAAATTACTTCTTTCTGTACAGCCTAGAACATAGTTGCAAAGGGAACAACAGATCATTTCAGAAGATACTTGGAAATTTCAGTCAAGTGAGATTTGGAAACTAAATACATGTATGATATGGGACAAAAGGAAAAAACAAAACATTGTTGTTTTAATACAGTCTTACCACTTCCCTGGCCCGAAACATTTGTTGTTTTAATACAGGTCTTACCACTTCCCTGGCCCGTTGTTCATCCATAATCTTTAGTCTCCTGCATAGTTAGTCCTTTCAGCTAACCCCCTTAGTGCCTAGCTTATTAATTTTGTAGAACATGTATTTATTAAACACTTTCTATATAATACATTTTGCTAGATATTAAAGGTAAATGACACCTGTAATCCCTGCCCTCAATAAGTGCACAATCTAGTGGCAGAAAAAAAATCAACTAATCAGTATAATATTGTAAAGGATTTATTGCTATAGGTACTGCATGCCAATGGGACATTGAAGAGCACCCTCTTCAGTCCACCGTGGGTTAGGAGAGCATTCTCAGTTCTCTGTCTTTAGAGACATATGAGCTAGCTTGATAAAGAAAGTGGGAAAGATATTCTGTGCAGAGAGAAGCATGTTTAAAGGCATGAAGTGGCAAACATGGAAATTTGCAAATTGCTGAATGAGCCTAAGCAGGACAGCATCCAGCTCCTGAGAACAGGAAATACCCTGCCTAGCCAGAATATAACTACAAGTGGTGGTAGCTCAGCACTGGTAAATTTCCTTAGCATACCAGTAATGTCATTGAAAATTTATTTAAAATCTAGGAGCTAATCAAAGTCTTATGTTTAGTTGTCCTTATCTCTTCAGTCTTCTTTAATGTGGAACTGTTTTCTAGCATTTTTTGTTTTCTTTTTCCTTCCTCCTTTCTCTCTTGGTCTTTTATTATGTTGTTTTTATAGCACAGACCAGTTATGTCACAGAATATACTCACTTTAGGTTTATATGATTATTTTCCTACAATTAAATTTAAATTAGACATTTCTGTGCAAAGTGCTGAACAGGTTATGTCATTTCACAAGGCAATTGGTGTCAATGTATCCTATTCTTGATACTGTCAAATTTGGGTAAAATGATAACATGTCCTGTTTCCCCACAGCCTTACACACAATGGTTTTGCTACCAAGTATGATACCTGCCTAAATCATTTGTTACTATGTGCATTGGAAATGACTTATTTCCCTCATATGTTTGACATTTGCCATCTAATAGTTGACACCTTTATGTAAAATTATCTTTCCTTTCCCCTGCAAAGATGATGATGATGATGATGATTTTAGCATCAATGTGGATACTTAATTTTTTCCCAGTGTGTAATAATTTATTGTCATCATTGCTTACTTGATGCTCAAATTGTATAAATTTGTCAGCTCTGTCCTTATAACATCCATTTTTATATTATTTGATTCTATTTTCTAGCACATCAGTATGTTCCTGACTCATTTTTGCTAAGTGTTCTGATTCATTTTAGTGAGTAATGATATTTAGAAACCAAGCTCTCAGGACTAGTGTGCTCATTGAGGCAGTAGTGCCATTTTTTCTGAACACTTTTGGTCTCAAAAGCTAGAAAAATATTTTTTAAAACCCTGTGCCTAAATTGATTCCTGTAAATTCAATCCAGTACTTCAGGATTCTTCCTCCCTCCTCCTATTCCAGATTTACATCTCCTTTCCCACAGTGAGGGTCACTGTTGACACTAGCATTAACAACTTTACCCACCTGCTCAATATTATAATGCACACATAAAAATTTCAGAATCATTATACAGTATTTCCACTACCAACAACAAACTTACTAAAGTGACAATTCATATTCTCTTTGTAGCTTTTTTCTTTTTTCTTTAAAGTATATGCTATTAAGGACATTTAAAAATTACTTGGGTTTTTTTTTTCTCCTTTATAGCTAATGCTATCAATTTGATAACTTGTTCATTTGCTTCCATTTGTTTTCAATTTGAAGATTTTTTTTTTTTAATCTCATGCTTGGATTTGTAAGCAAGCATGGTAGCGTGCTCACCTGGCATGTGCAGGGTGCTGTGTTCAATCCTCAGCACCACATAAAAATAAAATAAAGATGTTATGTCCACCAAAAACTAAAAAATAAATATTAAAAAATTATCTCTCTCTCTTAAAAAAAATTTAGATGTTTTTACTAGTGAAATGTATTCATGACCTCAAATACTTGGCATTATCTGCAATTCTTCTTAGGGGAAAAAAAGCATAATTAAGTTTGAGTGTAAATTTTCAAAGATAGCCAGGTAATTACTTATTAAACTGTCTGAAATATTTAATGCATTTTAATTTAAAATAGCCATCAAATCACTTTAGAATTAAATTTATGTGTAAATTAACAACCTCCCAATACTCTATTTCTCGCCCACCTGTTTTGATAACACCTACAAGGTTTAGTACTCTTCTAAAAATACTAAATAGGACCAGATGGAAAACCGACTGATACATATTTATATTTATATATCTGTTTATAAACTGTAAATGAGTGTGTTATTTGTACTCTACTGTTTTCACTTGCTATTCTCTATTAAAGAGATTGTTTCAAAATGGAAACAAAAATGAAGTAATAAAAAGTGTGGAGAAAAATCATTTTTTCTATCAGATGTCATGTTATACCAGCCTTACAGTTTCATAGAGAATGCCTGCAAATAGCTTCTTTTGCAGGAACAAAAAAGTCTTTAATATTTCCTTTATTTTGGGTTGGGCCAGTACCTTTTTTGAGTCCTTTTCTCCTGCTTCCTTGGAATGATTTTTAGTATTGATAGTTATAAATACCTGTGAATATTTTTAATGTTATTTGTTGACAGAATTGGTTCTGTACATACATCCTTTATTAATTATATAATGTCAGTTTAACCTAATCATAATGGAATGCAGTTCTTTAAATTTATGAGAGACTTTTTTAATTATAGAAGATAAACTTTTTATACATTCTGTAAAAGTTTTAGCAATTGTTCTGTGTCACATCTAGTCAAGGGACAATTATTCTCTGATATGGAAAAAAATAAATCATTGGGATTGATTTTTCATATTTATAAAATTTAGCATGGAAATGTAATTTTGAACAGTCAGTTTAGATGTGCAGAATCTGTTACAATAACCAAAACACTGTCTCAGACCTGATCAATTTTTAGAATAAAGGCTGTTGCCTTATAAAGAAAATAATATGTTTCTACAAGGGAAGTGTGATTTATGATAACTTAAGACATAGCTATAACTAGAGCCACATTCCATTTAAAGTCATTGTGGCATTGGACTATAAAAGCAGTGCTCTGAAGTGAATCAGTAGAACTTGGTCCTTTTTAGTAGACAGAAACAGAAGCACTAATGAGGTATATTTCATTAAATGATAGTTGATTTATGAGAGGCCTTTTTTATTTTGAAATTGCTGGCTTAGTCCTGGCATCTGGTCTTTTTTCTCCCTACCATCACCATCCCCAATTTCTCTGTATGCTTTGACATTGCTATGGTAACCCTGAGGGCTGATGGAATTCCCTGCATCTCTTTTCACAGAGGGTGATGAGACAGGAGTGATGGATAGTCTGCTGGAGGCCCTGCAGTCAGGGGCTGCCTTCCGCGACAGAAGAAAAAGAACACCGAAGCCGAAAGGTGAGCACTATGCTTGTTTTCATGTTACTTTCTAGGCAACTATCACAGAGAAGAAGACTTTTTCTTTCTAATTCTTTTAAAATCATGTGTCAAGAATGCAGTGCTATGGGCAACAATTATTCAGAAGTTTCATAAGTTTGCTTAATCTCTTCCAAAGACAAATGTCAGAGAGATGTGCATTCCAGTTGGCTAATGTCAGTGGCACATTAACAAATCAATGCACTGAACCTAGAAAATCCTGATTAGTGTGACAAGTCTCATCCAAAGAACCATATGTACTTTGTCCCAGTGGAGTTTACAGTAGCATAATTAAATGGGAAGTAAAAGTCATAACATTACTGCTTCAAGTGTTTCAGGGTACTGAAGCATTGCTTTRCTTCCAGAAATACTTAACCTTGGAAGAAAGTATGTCTAAATACTAAATACTTTTATGTTTCTTGAGATGAACAGATCTCTACATTAAGTTTCTTTTATATATTTTTTAACAGATATTCGGCAAAGTCTCAGTCCATTGTCTCAGAGGCCTGTTCTGAAAGTTTGTAACCATGGTAATAAACCATATTCATAAATTGCACTTTTTTCTTATCTACTTTTATCCTGTTGGTCTGTGATTTTAGTAGGCTGCTCTGACGTTTTCAAGTTTCAATATAACTAACAGTAAAAATGTAGATGCTCATATTTGATGAGATTGTGACTCATGTTTTCTATTTTTATATTTTGCCTTAAGGTTGTTTCTTAGGTTTTTCTTTTCAGGTCTCAAATGAATATTTTATTATTTGAAGTTGCCTTTATAATATTTCTGATCACTGTTGTCCAGTGCACACTTTCAAAAACAATGTGTTCTCATAATTCTATTTTAAATTGTGGAAGTGCCGAACGTCAAGATACAATTTGAAGTGTTGAAAATGACACCTGTTTTGCTCTACCATATTTGCTATGTTGTCAGAAAATACTTTGACTTACATTTTGGCAAAATTATAGATACACATGAACCCTGCATTATATTATTGTGGAAAGATGTACTAAAATTGATACAAAGGTGAATTAATCTCATCTCTGCTATTTATCTAAAATTGATTCCCCTCAGAAATCTCCTACCAATCTCATATGCCCAACTACTTGGTACCCTGTTCCTCTGTTCAGAAGACTGTTTTGTGTTGCTTGACTGTTTTAACTTTGTTTCTGTTTCCCTCCTTGTTCTGGTTGTGGATTGGTGCTTGCTTTCTGAAGTCAAAGRCACATTCATCCCCGTTGTCACAGGTCACCATATTTATAAGTAGAAATATACTTGACAGATTTCATCCAAGGATTTTTGGGTGCAGATGAATTAATTTCTAAAACTATTTACGTATGGCTGAAAGGGAAACTCATGCCATGTTTTCTAGGATAGCTTAAAATACTTAATGAGATAAGTAAAAACAGATGGGGATGCAATGACCTCTTAATAAGTATATGGATTTTTACTGCCCAAGGCAAAGTACTTATAGTAGATGTAATGAGAAGAAAGGTAAAAATATGCCACAGCATTTTAAATAGGTGTTTTTAACTTCTTTTAGTATGTCTTTGTGTTTGTTCTGCCCTTTCCTATTCTAAGAGAGTAGAAATAACTTAAGTAAGTTCATTATGGATAATTAAGTAATTTCTAACTTTGGACTTATGATTTTGAGTCATTATGACATACTAAATTATGGTAAAAATTGTAGAGGATAACCCTATCCCAGACCTTAAAGATTGTTTAATAAATGAGTAAATGGAAACCCAGAGAGGCTGAAAATCCTGAGCACAGAACTAGTGCCACACCATGACCATAATACAGGTCTCTAATTCCTGTGTATTTCTTTTTTTATTGCATATAGGTATTTCAGGGTTTTTTTTACTACTAATAAAAGAAACAATTCAGCCCCCTTTGTAACAAATCATTAAAGAACTACATACAAATGGGGATTATGAGATGGTTATAATGGCTTCCTATGCTTTATTTAAAATAAATATTTTAGATATTAATGCAGAGGGAAATTTACCTTATATATCACCCTTGGAGAACCTTTTGTGACTTTAATGAAAATTAGATATAATGGCTTGGCTGTAATTACTAATAAATTGTGTTATTTCTGTCCATTATATAAAAGCAGATATACTGTCTCAAATTCTAAGGCTAAAGTAAGCTGGTAGATTATATTGCAAGCCAAAGGATATTTTTCACAAAGATCAAATTCTCTTTTCTAGTATAAATGTAGTAGATTAAAACATTTGTAGAAAAATTTCTATTGGTATTTTGTTTCTAGTCAAGTAGAAAGAAATCTCATATTTATCTTTGAAAATGACATATATAAATTTATTAGACTTATATGTTAAAAAATGCAGGATTTGGTTAAGGAAAATTTCTTCATAACAAAAGGGTTCATGAATGTTTTAGAATAGGATATTTCAGAGTTCATTTTGTAATCTATTTCTTTTTTTTCTTTTTTTTTCTTTTTTTTATAGTTGGTTGTTCAAAATATTACATAGTTCTTGATATATCATATTTCACATTTTGATTCAAGTGGGTTATGAACTCCCATTTTACCCCGTATACAGCTTGCAGAATCACATCAGTTACACTTCCATTGATTTACATATTGATATTGTAATCTATTTCTAAAAATTACCTGTTTTCATTGAAAATACAACCCCACTACTGAACTGCATGATTACAATGTAACATTGAACCTATGATATTTTAAATTTAAAAATATCTGGTATTTATATTGCCTACAAGTATGTGGTTTGTTGGTATTATCTTATAACCTCTTTGTAGAAGAGTTAAAAAGATTCTCTGCAATTATTTTAAATTCTACAAACTAATTTATGTCCTAAGTAAAATAATTTTATTAATAGAAATAATAATAAACTGCTGTTTACTGAATTACTTGACTTACTATATGCCAAGCACTGTGCCAAATGTTTTATACATATCATTGCATTTAACCTTCTCAATAATCCTGTCAGATAGTCAATATTTTTACCTTTGTTTCACAGTTGAAAGTAATTAAAGATTAAAAAGATTTGATGGCTYGCTTAAAGTCATGCAGCAAAGTTATGAACCTAGGCCTGTCTGTCTTCAGAGTCCAAGCTCTTATTCTGTTTACAGCATCATACTCTGAAGTCAACAGCTTAAATCCATATCTAATCCCTTTTCCATCCATTAGCTAGTGACACATGTATGTTTGTTTCTCTTGTGATATGAAGTAGAACTATTGAGATGCAACCTCTTGGAGGTTCTCCAGCCTCTGGTATGCCTTACCTCTTATTCCCAGATTTAGCCACTAGATAGCACTATTTTCTTGGTTTGAGACTTGAATTACAAAAATATTCTTCCAGAATTCATTATGACCACTTTTTATTTCTTTTATTAAACTCATTATTAAATCCTCTTGTTAACTTTAATAAACTTATGCTCTGTTATAAAGATTGTAGAAGACTTAAATAAATAAATTAATAAATAAATATATAATCTTCAAAGCCCAAATTTAAGCTTATTAGTGGCAGTTTTAATCTCTTATTAAATATGTATCTCTTATTATCTGTGTATAGTCTGTGCCTTTTAAAACCATAACTTTAGTCCCAAACTTCTTAGATTTATTTTTATATATTCAGAGTATCTTATTTCAGACTTTAAGAATCCTGGTAAAACATCCTCCAGAACTTTGGGGCTAAAATGTCCCAGTATGTATTTTTTTAAACATATTTTTAGTTATACATGAACATAATACCTTTATTTATTTTATGTGATGCTGAGGATCGAACCCAGTGCCTCACATGTGTTAGGCAAGCACTCTACCAATGACCCCAGCCCCAGCCCCCCAGTATATATTTTGATATACTGACCATAAACTCCAATGTGTTTCAGAAGCAGAGAAATGTTACACTCTGGTTAACCTGGCCTTCATCATGTGTTATAAATCTCTACCAAAAATATTCTCTACTTTGGTTAAAATTTATACTTGCATTATCTTTTATTTTGGCTAGTAAGTCTTAGGCAGCAATTAAGTATTTGCCATTTCTCCTTGTTAAATCTTCATTTATTCCATAAAATATTCAATAAAATTTAATAATCACTTGTTAAGCACTTAAGATACAGAGATACCCTGCCAGAAACACTGACTAGTTGGGAGACAGACCAATACTAATTCCCATGGATGTGGTAAATTTTAAGATAGAGGATACACACAGTTTGGGCAAGATTAGAAAGTCTGAAAGGCCAATTCTGTCTTTGTGAGGACAATCCAGATTTGGTTTCTAGTGAGATCTGAAATCTAAGCTGAGTTTTAAAGGATGAATTAAAATGAGGCCACAAATGCAAGGGCAAGGATGAAAGACAAAAGAAGTAGCAGCAGTATATGTGTCCTTTCCCAGGGAGCCTTTCTGAACCTCATCTGAACCTTGATCTCTAATAACATGGTCTTCCCAGGATACAGCACTCAGTGCCCTCAGAATGTTTCTTATTCAATGTTGGTCTCCACTACTCATGAATACCTTGTGGTGGAGAGAAGGCAAAAGGAAAAGGCCTGTATTGTTTTCTGTCTTAAATGTCAGTACTTAGCTGGAGGGGTGCCTAGCATGTGTTGAATGAATGGTTTATGTTTAGGCTTGAATGGAGCAATTATTATATGAAGGAGCAAAATGATGTCTCAATGTCATCYCAATAAGTGAGATTTAATATGCCAAGTGATAAAGCTGCAGCTGTGAACACCATTAATCACCCCTCATCTYCTCCCTTTAATGTTACCTATTGTCCATGATGACACCAGCCAACACCGACCAGTGCTTCAAAAAGGATATGGAGAGTAGGGTTCAAGTTTGAGTGGATTTCTCCTTAGAAGTAGGAGGGATGCTTATTAATTTTTTTCCCTTGTTTAGTCAAGAAAATTATAACAATATTAACGCAAATTTATCTGCTGATGGCTATAGGCTTTTACTGCTTCATTCAACAGCGTGTTCCAAACCTAAAGATCTCCCTCTTTTACATAAATATAATTAAAATATTAATGCATTTTTATGATGATCATATTAGGGTATTTAGGGTTTGGTGAATAAAGTGCCTACTTGGCAATATAGGACTAGGTGGAAAAGTAGTATATTGAAAGTCTGATGCCAGGCCACAAATTTTGGACTATTGAAAATTTTGATTAAGAAAATGAGAGGTATGCGTAGTTAGGATGGAACTGAATTGAAAAACATAAGCAGGACTTAGCTACTTCAAAGACAGTGTGGATTGGCTGCAAGGGATGGGGAAAGTCAGAAGGAATACTAAGGTTGAAGGAAGAAGCCAGGCTTATAGCTTTGGGTCAAGAGGCCCTCCCAGAGAATCACTAATATTGCATGCTAATGAGTTATCTAAAGGAAGTCTTTAAACAAGAACAGAATGAATTGAGGACTGGACATTAGGAAGGAACTTGGTCAAGGGCTCAATATTAGTGATAGATCAGAATGAATCTATCAATAGTGTTAGAATGAACAGAGGAAGAGGCTGAAACAATGAGTAAGTAGGGGGATAGCACCATAGTAG